CATTCATTCATTCAATTTAAATTGATATTTTGTTGTATTTTAAATACGACCATAACAAGAAAAAAACAAACAAAAAAAAAACACAAAAATCGTAAACATACCTTTCGCCTCAGTGAGATGTTTAAGCGGATCTCCAACATTAGCAGGGAATCCGGCCTAAAAAGAAATACAAACGACACTGTTACAAAGCAAATCAAAACATACACACACATACATATACATACATATACATTAGCAGCAAATATATACTTATGTCAAAACATTTTTACGGCTCAAACTACGTGGACATATATATTTTTTATCAAAGTCTTAGAATGAAGTTATTGTCACTACACAATGTGTTGAACTAGTGCTGCTATTTATGACGTATGTTTTTATTCTGCTGATCTCAGGTCTGTCTTAGTCGTCTAATTAAAACCTAGCGTTTGTCTGAATTATGGGCTTAACAGAGACAGGAAATTCAAATTACAGTTCAGTTTAGAGAGCTTTTTATATGGAACTACGTTAGGGGGAAAGGTTAAACTTGGTCAGGGTGTTTACCTTGTGGAACGGAGGTCTTTTTAAACGGCTACTGCCATCCTCTCTCTGCGGAGGTCAGCTTGGGGGTCATTTAGTGTCTCTTTAACGGACGGGGCAAAGGCGGGCTCTTTAAACAGCCGAGGGAGCATCACATGACCGGAGGAGAACAGAAAGAGCAAAACAAGAAGAGAGAATAATCCCCAACCCAGGCAGCCTCCTGCACACGGCCGGGAGGAGGTCAAGGAGGCTTCACCTGAGCCCCTTTTTTTTCTGCCGGGGGTAAACACTCCCAAAGTTAATGCGTGTTTACTGACGATGCTTGTCGTGATCACTGCTCCGCCTCACATTGAATTATACGAACAAACACAGCGGATGGAGTCTCAGGAGTGACAATGTCACTATCGCTAAATCCTCCAAATCTCCGTCGCAGAGATTTGCCAGAAAATGCATCACTTGGCACTCAAATCCAAATAGGAAACCATTCTTATCAGATTACCAAGGACGAATGCAAGGTCACACAGTGATTTGGTGGCTGCACCGGTTGAACGTGGTTTTTTTTTATTTTTTTTAAATCCCTACATAGAAGTTGGTAGTTACGTTGGATTCTTCTGTGTTTATATATACTTTAAATTATCAATCAGATTTCAAGCATCTGGGTTGGTTAGTTTAAATTATGACATTTTTTATTATTATTACATAATTATCCTTCACACACAGGAGGTTGTTTTTTTTTTTTCTTTCTTTCAAAATGTTTATTCAGCGTCAACAAAGAGGAAAATATTAAAGGGCTTACAGAAGCAGCTCAGAATCGGAATAGTCCAACAAATTCAATGGATTTAGTATTTAATTGTGACACTCACACAGTCAGGAAAAAAAAAATCATCATTAGAAAAAAAAAATAAAGTTACTTAATTACAGCATAAAAAAAATCACAAAAATTAAAAAAAAAATCTGGTTTTGCTGATCATTGACTGGAGTGTATAATGTTGTAAAGGTTATTTTTAGTTTTTTTTTTTTTTTTTTTGGGGGGGGGGCATTAATACGATCATTAACACAACTACACAGGCCTTTTCCAGAATCAAACAGCCGACAATATCCACAGTGGCACACCATGCTTTTCTAAGCCCTTTAACACTGAAGAACTATTACTTTACAAAAGAGAGGGCACAGCAATACAACATGGGTACAAGTGTGTATGACGACGCTGGGCTTCGTCCACTCTGTCAATGTTCAATTTACAAGGGATACAAGTGTCACCGATTTGACCCTCAGAAAGAAAGATCTACTGCACTGCACTTTTCCTAGAACTACTCTACTACAGTTTAAAGTGATCAAACACGCGGTTCAGGGTTTATAAAGAATAGCGGGCGGTGGCGTCGAACTGTGTAGAAGTTTTGCGTATCAAACAGCTTAACGCGATCGGCCAGATCGGAATAGCTCGATACAACGTCGTTCTTCACAATCTAGTCCAGTCCAAGGACAGATGACCTCACTTTTCTTTTATATAATCACAGGGAATTATGATTTTTGTTTTGTTTTTTTAATTATTTACTGGCTATTGCCATTTATTTTCGTTTTTCGGTGGTCTGCTTTGGATTCTAAAAAGGTGGGTGGGTCCATAAAAAAATCCATTACTTAGGTTAAAACAGCCACCAGGGTTCAGGGACAGGCTGTATAAACAGTTCAATATCTGGAGTATGGCTGATCTCTGTACACTCCCTTGGTTGTTCGTGCCGATGCCGTCTTGCCGCGATTGTTTGCCCACTCTTCCTGGCCTGATTAAAAAAAAAACAAGAGAGAGAGAGAGAGAGAGAGAGAGAGGGAGAGAGGGGTGTAGGGTGATCACTGGAATGCCAACTGTAAACCATTTATTCACAATAAAGAAAAATACGATGATGTAGCGGACAAGTAGCTTCGACATCTCCCTGGGAAGACGCATCTTGGATCACTGAACGAAAGCCACTTGAAAAAGCACCGTTTAGTGGCTCAACGCGTAAAGGTCACAATTAGCACTCAGGCTAAACAGGCTCCTGTTCACCCCATGGTAGCGTCAGTGTAAAAATGCCAGTATCGATGGCACCTTTTGTCTGATCCCCAGTCAGGGCTGAGACTTCCCCAGAGCTAGAATTCTGTTTTTTTTGTTTGTTTGTTTTTTTCTCTCTTCTCACACATAGAGAATCTCTCTGTCGGCAGCCCACAAGCCAATACCCCTTAATTAAACCTGTCACCCTATCACTGACAGTCGCTTTGGAAAAAAAAAGAAACACGCACACACACGCACGCCAAGGTAACCTTGTGTTCTTTAGAACAAGGATGCACATCAATGCTGTTTATCTGTCCCACTTAGACTGTCGCTCTCTTCTTCCTCCTGACCTGCGCGCTAGCAGTTTTTATCCCCGTTTCCTCTAATGAGCTGGCGGTGCTTTTGTTGTACTCCTTTTGCAAAGTCGCAGAAGTTGGAGACATTTTTTAAATATTCCAAGCTGGAAACGGCCAGACATCCGCAAGGTCTAACGTCGTTCTTTAGAAGGAGGAAGTCAGAAAAATGTGCAGATTTAAATACATCGCTAACCTTAATCCGACAATGTTAACAATAAGGGATGTTTGCGTACGATTATTATCTGGCTTCTGTTATTCACCAAGACAACAATGTCAATGGAAGATCTACTTTTTCCAACAATTTTTTTTTTTTTTTCCCTTTTCCAACAATTTTTTTTTTTTTACTTTGCATTTCTGACCTCTGACCTGCCACTCACCTCCACCTCACCTTCCAAACGAAAAAATAAATAAAAATAAACGCCACACAATCATGTCAGTGAATAAGTCAGTGCCATTCCAGTCATTCAGTGATTCACTCACCGTAGGATTCATATGATTCTCCACTGTGTCCGTATTCGTAGTAGTCCTCCGAGCTGTAAGCAGACAAAGAGCAGGCTGATGCATAACTGTCATTTTCACAGAGAGGAAAAAACTAAACAAAAAAACATGCATCCTGCATCAAACAAATTGCATTTATTAAGAAAATAGAAAACAAATGGAAACGTGCGTTGTTTGTTTTGACTTTTCAGGAATCCTATATTTTCTCTTTCAGAGAACGTCTAAAAGTCACATCCCTGCGCAATTACAATTATTTCGCCATGTAACAACAGCGTCGACAACACTTTAAATCAAAATCAAAGCTTTCACTCTGTCACTCAAACATCTGCAGTTATCTGCAGTTCCATATCACTGCGTGTGGAGATCTATGAGCAGGGGCAAGTTTGTTGAAAAGTAAAAAGACGGGCCTAAAGGTTCATTCCTTGCTTCTTTATTTCTTTTTTTTATTTCTTTTTCCAGCCGGTGGACACCGGCGAGACGCTGACAGAACAATCCTGCGTCAGTATCATTCGGTAACAGCGCAATCAGTCAAGAGAGGCAATTCATCATAAGGCTGCCACTGAGCCGACAACCGGCCGTCACAGCTGGGTCCTGTCCGTCTGCTGTCAGTCCGTCAGCGACGGCATCACCTTTCAGCTCGGCGGATTAGAGAGCTGCAGGCGCCAACCCAAAGCCCCCCCGGCACATCACATCGATGACGCCGCTCGACCGCCGAGGGCAAAGAGGTGACGGCCGTGACACCCCGGCGCAGAAGTAACGGAGTACATTTTGCTGTTGTTGTTACTGTAACGTAGTCGTCGAAAAGCCAAACTGAGCTTGGAGCGTCGGGGTCGAGACGGTTGGCGCCTTTTTATCAAGTTACACCTGTTAGCGTCCGAGAGGAAGTCAATTTCTACAAAGCTAGACAGGGATTTTTTTATTTTTTTCTCGTACATTTTAGTAAAAAAAAAGGTTGAGCTACGTCCAAGAGAATTCAAGGGAAACAGTACAAAGTATTTGTACAGAGTACAAACACTGCATAGTTTAACGTTAATGGAGCTAATAAAGCTAATAACCCTTCTTAAAAAAAAATGTCCCTGAGGACAAAAACAGTCCAAACAAATTGACTTCATTGTTTCGGCAGTATAGTTTTTTTTTTTTCACTATTTGAAGATGATTATCGCAAGAGCACCACGGGGCTCAGTTAAGGGCCTGGATGAGGAGGCTCGCGCCTAAACTTAGACTAAATCGACTCCGCCGCAGAAGATGTGAAGAGAACGTCAGCAAATTCTCACAGAGAGACACTGGGTCAGCTGCTAATGCTACGAGAATGCCCGTGACGCCCCCGACTGGTCGACTGAGTTATAGAAGGCATGTTTTTTTTAGTCGTCATGATGAGACGGGAGCTGACAGGTTACTAAATAATTACATCTCACTCTGCCGTAAACCCTTGTTTTTATTCTGAATGTCAGAATGTGAAGTCATTTTCCACGGTTCAGGTGGTGGCAGGTACGATATGAGTCTCCCCACATGCTGCTCAGTCCAAAACAACATAAATAAATACAAAACAAACAAGTTCACATCATGGAAAACCCATCTCTGGGTTTCTCTCGAGAGAAAGCAGTCGGTACTTTGACGATAACTATTCCTCCGATTTTTTACGAATTCATCTCTCTAACAGAAATCACCTAAAAACTGGGTCCATATTCACGGGCTGCCTGTTCAAGCCTGCTCCGTGCACAGAGAACCCAGCGCCACACAAGCTATTAGGCCCATTTAATTTCTGAAGTGACATTTCATCAATAGCACTTCACAAAGACCCCGTCCAGTTCCTTTTTTCGCCCTCCTCTTTTCAACAGCAGTCTCCAGATGCAGACAGAACGTCTCGTCTCTCACCAGACGGTTTTTTATTTCTGTCGCATCAGAAACCTTCAAATCTCTCTCCTCTCTTTTTCTGATTTTCGTTCCCCCTCAATCGACAGTGCACAAAGCGTATTTGTAACCAGCTCCAGTGACTGCAGAAGAGACGAGTGTTTCTACAGCATCAACACTCTCTGCTTTATCAACCCTGTTGCAATATCCTCACAGGTTCACACGGGGAGAAACGAGCTCTCATTGGGTCGTTTGTCATCACTGGACGTCCACAATCACACTTTTACCCCTGAACCTACGGACGAGATGCTAGCGGACGCTAACGTCTGTTAAAAAGAGTTTAAAAACGCAAATAGGTCGTCTTCACTGTTGACATTGATTTGCACAAGGTTTCTGCTGCTCTGCGTCTCCGTCAGCCTACTGGGCATCTGTCAGAGGCTCGACACGACACGTGCTAGCTCTGGATCGGTGTGCATCCCGCATCCCGCATCCGGCATCTGACTCCAGGCCTAGTTTTCCACAGGTAGAGAGCAGGCTTCTCCATCACATCTGTCATGTTTGTCTTAAACACTGATGTTGCCGTTCCTGGGCATCAGGAAACAGATGGTGGTGTTAAATCTGAATGATGTAGTACACGTCCCTCGTGGTCTTTGTTTTCCTACCCGGGCCATTAATCTTCCGGTCCTCTGTGATAAATTTGGAGAAATCTAGCAGGATATTATGAAGCCCTGCAGAGGTAACACGGTGCCAGTCTAACAGGAGGACAGCTTGTCTTTTGTCCGGCGAATCATTCCTCACCGTCTCACACCTAAACGGAGAGAGATGGTTCCTCTCATCGTCGTGTAAAACTGTGGGTTTTTTGGGGCGGGAGGTAAACAAAAAAAGCAGCTTCGGTTACAGTCGACCAGTGACGACTTCGGCACAATAAAATAAAAAAAGGGTTCAGTAGCTGACTGAAGTCACAGAGGACAACAAAATACCTGACAGTTTGATAGTTTTACTTCATTTCTATTTGAGCAAAGAACCTGAAATATACATGTTGGTTTAAGACAAGACTTTTTTTAAGGTTAGTAAAACTAGTGAAATCTGGAAAATAATAAATAAAGATAATATTTTTACAGTATGTAACAATGTATTATGGAATCATTTGTAATTGCTAAATGTTACTATTGCTATTCTGTCAGAGTAGTTTGAGACTGGTTGGCTATTTCTACTTCAGATTTACGTGTCACGTTCGAAGGTGAAGAAGCCTCTCGGAATACATTTGAAAAGACTTTTGAAAAAATAAAATAAAATAAAGGAAAGTAGGCACAGTTGTCAGAGCCAAAACAGGTAATAATTGCAACTAAAAATTAAAATAATTTGCTGCCAAAAAAAATAAATAATCTGTCTCTGTGTTTAGATAACAGAAAACAGAATGTAATAAAAAATAAGAGGATTGATCAATACCTTCAAGAACACAGTACACGCAGTACTACATTTTTATACTGAGAACCAAAACAATTTACGAGATTAAAGTAATACATTCTAATTCGTACACATATACTCAGGGTTTGCAGTACTGTTTCCACAGTAAGAGACACCCCATGCAGTATTGTATGTGGGACGGCGTACTGCAGGGAGGTCGTATTCTCTTCCCTGGCCTTGCATACAGTATGCATTCACATATCCTTCCACTACATGCTGCAGTACTCCATGATTTACTACAGTAATGACTGCATTTTATATCTGCAAGCTGCTTCCCGGAGGCCCATAAGAGACACCGCATTCACTACGGGACACTTACGAACCACGTCCAGCTTTAGTAGTACTTTCTATAGTACTATTTACAACCACATAGATTTTGTTTGGTTGTCCTTAAAAAAAATTCGGTGATTTAATATATGAATTTGTTGGCAGTAAATATTTAACCAGTTAGTTGTCAGTCCAAGGTTTACTGGCTGCACATGCACTGGTCCCGATGTGCACTGCAGTAGTTGGAGGTACTCTCTTTGAGCAGCCTCTCTCTCTCCACAGCCCTGTTCCTCTCTGTCCTCGTGTCTCGTCCTAAGATTTACAGTTGATCCCCGGGGACGTATCTGCCCTTTAAAACACTGTCACACAGCTCTCCTTGTACAGGCAAGCCTGTGGGATCAGGCCCGCGACGCAAAGTGTGGCAAAGCAAGGCGCTGCGCAAGGTGCGAGGTGTCGGTCGTCCGCAGTCTCCGAGGTGTCAAGTATGAAATAATGCTTTGATTGCAGCCGAGCTGCGAGAGACGACCTCGCCGTGACCTCAGCCAGTGTCCAGCCAGGGCTGAGCCACAGCTGTCACCTCCTTCATTCCCCAACAGAGACATCATCGTCTCACCGATAATAAAATTAAAGACACTCTCTGCACAACGGCGGCGTCCTCCAGCCTCCTTGACCTTAGCGCCTGCTCATGGCCACAGCGCTTGATGACTCTCACTGGATAGAGCGCTCTGTTCCCTCTTCAAAAATAATAAAACACACAGCAAATGTGTGTCAGCAACCGGTGAAAAGCAGACGCGTGGGCCGCACGAACGTCCAATCACGTCGGCCGCGTTTCAGTTCGGGTGTTTGTTGATGAGGAATTAGCTTTTTTTCAGATGTAAAAATGTCTTCATTATCTTATTTAAGCATTTACGAGGTAATTTTTAATTCATTCAATTGCTCTATATTATTTAATTTTTAATTCATTCAATTGCTCTATGAGGTCATTTTTAATTCATTCAATTGCTCTATTTCATTAGCAATATCAGTTAATCCTATTTAATACCTTTACTAGACAATTATTAGCTTGTGACTAATGCTAACCTAAATCTGAATGGGGAAAAAAAAAACATCTTAAAAAATGACGACTATAATGAAGAAAAAGAATCCCTTTTGGACACTTCTAGTGGCAGATGCGGGTACTGCCTCTGCATCATTACATTTCTAATAATATGACAGTCATAGGAAGTTGAATTTGAAAGTTTTTCTTAAACTAAATACAAATAATGAATTTAGGAGGCAATTTATTGACTTGCATTAATTCCAAATGGCCAAAAAAGTAATAGAAAGAATCAAATAGAAATAGAATTTATTTTTTCTGACAGTAAAAGTCACTGAGTGACCTGAATCACCCAAATCTCCCAAAATATATTTAAAAAAAAAATCTTAACACAGATCTTGCCAGAATCCTGAACTCTACTCTGACCCATCTGCAAATATGTACTACTCAAAATTGTGACATAAATAAATGATCACTAAATTATTATAATTCAGCCCGTGATGTTCTCACTGAACGACACCAACAGCCATGACACCATGTGGTCCTCTGGATGATGTCCTGCCTTCTAATTTAATCAGATCATGCACGATGCCCACCTACAGCTTAATGAATAGCATATTAAAAATGGGAGGTAAAAAAAAATTCAACTTAATTAAAAAGTGTCAGTAGAGTAAATCAATTGTTGATGGTGATGAGTTTTTTTTTTTTTTTAATAACTACCCTCTATCTTTCCCCTCACGCCCATGAATTCTCACCTGTTCCTTCCCCTCGCCAGTGGCTAATAGCATCACAGAGAGACTGTAAATTGTGTTGCTTGTTATCCTACAGCAGCTGAAATCCTGCCAGGCAGTCGGTAGTCAGATTGGCGAGGGGGAGCTCCTTAGGCTGCAAGAAGCATCATTAGAAGGCTGTGTGTCCGCACGAATGCACGCATGTACACACACACACACACACACACTCCTTGAGGCCCCGCAGCAGCTGGGACCTGCTGTGACTCTCCTCAGGCTTGGCTCGAAAAAAAAAAAAAAAAAAATGTCACGTTTGTCCATTACTCAGCTGGGAGGGATCGTTACAGTACTGAGTACTAGTACAGGTGGAGTACTTTTTTTTTTATTATTTTGAGTTAGTGTAGTGACTGTTAAAGCAACTTGGCTCGCCTAAATGAGTTTAAATATTGATTTAAAAATTTGAATCACTGGATCATTTTTTCAATTCCTGGCCAATGCCACACGCAGCCCAAAAAAAAAAGGAACATCACTATTGAATTATTTTGAAGTCCTGTACTCCGTTATGAAACACAGTACATGCCTCGGTGCATTCATTCTCACACTCCCACAGTGTGTTTACAACAAGCCGCCGAGACAAACAGGAGTTAGTAACTAAGTCTGGGGAGGAAAAAAAAAAAAAAAGTCAGAGAAAGTACAAGCGCTGACTTCGTGGTAACGTTTCCTCTAAATGTTATCTGCTATTTCTGGTGTCTTCTGACATGCAGATGTGACATGGCACGACGCTGTGGCACATACACCAGAGAAGACTGTTCTAGGTGAAAGACGAGTGCAGCGAACGGGCCGCGGGAGACTGACAGGGCTGGTGCAAAAGTTTGAAAAAAAAAAAAAAACGTGTTGGATTTTTGACAGCGTCTCAATAACGCGGTAAGTCATTTTACAGTTTACGGCGGAATACGGAAGATGAGGAACGCTGCAGAGACGACTGCAGTAATCCTGCCTGACGGGTGGAAAGTGTTAGTTTTACTGAGTCAGTAGGTCAGTGGTATGTGGGTGTGTTTTTTTCTTGTAGAAACAATATTAATCCAGTGCGTCTTACTCCAACATGTTGACAACTATTTATACAGTAGCTAATGACGTGGCAGATTGGACATAAAGTGGACATATTGAACGGAAGACAAAGCTGCCAGGAGGGAGAAAGAGAGAAAAAAAGAAGACACCTGTGAAGATTTATGGATGCAGTAAAAGAGGACAAGGAGACGGTCGGTGCGTCAGTAGAGGAGGCAACAGAGAAGGTGAGATGATCTGCCCTGACGACGCCTGAAGGCAACAGCCAGGAAAAGAAGACGTGTATAATTCTCCAACTGTGTAACATGACACTGATGTGGACAAAATTAATGATCTTTAGGAATCTTTGTAGTAGTGGACTACAGAAAACAACAGGGATTGCTTTAAGAACTAACCAAAAAATTGCTAACTAGCCAATGTGAACCCATGCTATCAATAACTTTTTAAGCCAAAACCAGGACACAGGATTCAAAAATATGGCCGGCACATTGTGATTCAGTTGTCTCCTCAGGCACTGACTTCTGCTGTCTGGTCCCCATTAGTTACTTCGTCTCCTGCCACATAACAGACACCAGGATCTCTGGGTCAAACCGGCCTCCAGCCTCACCACGACCGATTCAATTTTTCTTGCACGCCACCACCGGACCCTGCACCCTCCCCCCATTATTCACAAGGTTTCCCTTGAAACAAATTGCTGCAGCTTCCTGCGGCAATGCATCCACCCAGGGAGCATTTCTTCAGCCCTCCGCACTAACACATGCCCCAGTACGGGGGCAGGAGAGGAACGCATGTACAGGTGGGTGTTTTCAATTTACCTGAACAAAGAGGGAGAGGAGCAAACAGAGAAGATAAACGAGGCGGCGCTGACATAGATCCTGTCACCTCCACAAAGTAAAACATCGACCACTACAGTTAGAGAAGCCGAGAGACACCGAGACTTCTCTTTTCTCTCCCCCTCCCTCCCCTCCCGTCCCCCCCCCCCCCC